CCTCCTCCCCCACCTCCACTCCTTTGGACACTGAGCCACAGTGGCCTCCCCGCTGCTACAGGATGTGCCAGCATGGGGGGGCCTCAGAGTCTTTGCTCTTGTTTACTTTGTCCAGAATCCTTTCCCCCAGATGTCAGTCTGGCTTATTCCCTCACCTTCCCCCGTCTCTGCTCAGGTATCACCTTCTCAGTGCCAGCACCTTATTGAGACTGGGAGTCCCACCGTCCCCTCTTCTGCTCTGTTTTTCTCCTTAGCTGCCGCTGCCATTTGACTTAACTGTGTTTTGCTTCTTTGTTTCTAACCACTGGGATTATAAGCTCTTTGGAGGGCATAGAAGAAATAACTCTTCAAATAACAGATGAATTATTAAATATTATTTTGGCAATTCTATCCAAAGAAGTAAGATTGAAACAAGTAAATGTAACTATTAGAACGAATGAGACAGAATATGTTTATGTACCCAGAAACACAAGCAAACTAACCAGAAAATGACTGCAGTTAATTAGAAAGGTCAACACAGTAACTGGGTACATGAAAAACAGACAGAAGTCCGTCACTTTTCTGCATCCCAGCAATAACCAGTAGAACATGTCCTGGGAAAATGCCAGGAGGAGTAAAGCGATAGGCGGACTGCAGCGCACCAGCAGTGGGCGCCAGTAGAGGCGCCGCGGTGGCAGCGGTAGAGGGTGCCCAGGAGGGAGAATATGGAGGTGCCGACGGTGCCCTTCCCGCCTCCAGCTTTGTCAGCACTTCACGGAGTGAAAAGTCCATCTCATCACATCCCCCTAGAGGTGGGCCAGCAACATGTCACTTTTCAAGAAGCCTATTTGAAAGAGGGGGTTTGAAGCACTCCTGCCCTTCATGAGCCTCCCTCAGGTGTGTGCTGTGCCCGGGGAGGCCAGCCCAGGAGAGCGTGGAGCCACTGTGATTCGTGAGACTCCCGTGCCACACGCCGGAACACGAGGCACAGCTCTCCAGGCCAGGCAGGGGTGTCTGCTGCCATTCAGGGCTCAGTCCAACACTTTACAGGATGTTGTTAGCTTTGTGATAAATATTTAGAAACCTCTTCTGAGGTTTCTTACTTGTGAAAGATAAAAGGCCTCCTGCCATTGGGGAAATACTTCCTTCCTGTGCTGGTAAAAATGGCTGAAAACATTATGAGAACAAACTAAGGTGCATCTCTTTGTCAGCAAATACTGTGAGAAAACCCACAGCAAACACTGGAGAAGGTTTGAAGAAACACATACCAAAGCAAATTGCGCGGTGTGGGAGGGCTGCTGTGGAGCTGGATGACAGTACAGATGTTTCATACGGGTCTCGATGAGGGTGTTTGCCGGATTCTGTTTCAGTTATGAAAACAGGAAGGATTACTTTTTGCGAGTCACTGAAGGGGAAAATGGTACTGGAGGAAATATAATTTAACAGTCAACTAATTAAATGGAGAAATTCTATGATCTTAAAAGCTGTAGTGAAACAAATTACCAAGGAAACATTAAGTAGATTTGACTAACACAAATTTAATTTTTTGGTATAACCAGATAAGATAAAACCAGAATTTAAAAGCAAGTAACAAACCTTAAAAAAATCCACCAAATGTGAACCATAAAAACCTGGTTCAAATTGATGAGAAAGCTCCAATGCCCTCTTCCTTGTTGAGTGTTGGGTGAGGAATACAAACAGAAAATACGTAGAAGGAAAAATGTGTTGAGTTGAACCGCATAAAATCACCCTTTTGTAAAAATGATGGCTGAATAGCCTATACCATGTAAAAAGATTTAAAAAAAAACAAAAGCTTCCCATAAAGAAAAACCCCAGGACATGATGGCTTCACTGGTGAATTCTATTAAATGTTTAAAAAAGAGTTAACATTGCTGCCTCACAAACAGCCAAAAAATGGAAGCGGAAGGAAGTTTCCCAGCTTGTTCTGTGAGGTCAGTTTTACCCTGATACCAAAACCAGACAAACAATACCACAAGAAAACTACACACCAGTCCTTATGAATGAATATAGGTGCTAAAATCCTCAACAGCATGCCAGCAAACTGAATCTGACAACATATGAAAAGGATTATGTACCATGACTAAGTGGGCTTTACCCCAGGAATGCAAGGTTGGTCCAACATGTAAAAGTCAACGTAATGCCATACTAATAGTATAAAGGACAAAAACCCCATGATCACCTCAGTAGACACATAAAAACACTTGACAAAATCCATCACCCTTTCATGATAAAAACACTCAACGAACTAGGAATAGGAGAGAACTTCCTCTACCTGATAAAGGGCATCTCTGAGAAAACCACAGCTGACATCATGCTTAGTGGTGAAACACCAAAAGCTTTCCCCTAAGATCAGGAAAAGACAAGGATGTCCACTCACCATTTCCATTCAGCATTGTCCTGGAGGTTCCAATTGGGGCAGTTGGGCAAGAAAAATAAATAGCAGGCATTCAAATTGGAAAGGAATAAGTAAACTCAATTTGCAGATGAAATCATCTTGTGTATGGAAAGTCCTAAGGAATACACACGTACACAACACACACACACACAAACCTGTTAGAACTAATCTGGTTCAGCAAGGTTGCAGGATACAAGATCAGTTTATATAATAGAAATAATTTGTATTTCTGTATCCTAGAAATGAACAGTGAAAAGGGAAATGAAGAAAAGAGTTTTATTTACAATAACACTGATAAATTGGATTTCATTAAAGGGAAGAAGCTTGTGTTTCAAAGGTATGCTCTTAAGAAAGTGAAAGGACTACTCACAGAACAGAGAGAAAATATTTGCAGATCTTTTTTTTTTTTTTGCGTTACGCGGGCTTCTCGCTGTTGCGGCCTCTCCCGTTGCAGAGCACAGGCTCCAGACGCGCAGGCTCAGCGGCCATGGCTCACTGGCCTAGCTGCTCCGCGGCATGTGGGATCTTCCCGGACCGGGGCACGAACCCGTGTCCCCTGCATCGGCAGGCGGACTCTCAGCCACTGCGCCACCAGAGAAGCCCTGCAGATCATTTTTGATAAGGATCTAGTATCCAGAATATGTAAAGAACTCTTACAGTTCAATAATATAAAGACAAATAACCCGATGTAAAAACGAGCAAATGGTTTGAGGAGACTCCTCTGAAGAAGAGGTACAAATGGCTAATGAGCATAAGAGGAGATGCACGACATCATTCATCATTGGTGAAATAACGAAACCATGATGAGGCACTGCTTCATACCCATGGGAATGACTGTAGTCAGAAAGATGGACAGTAACAAGTGTTGGATGAGGGTGTGGAGAGACTAAAATCCTGATAGACTCTGAGGAATGTAAAGTGGTGCAGCCACAGTGGAAAGCAGTCTGGTAGTTCTTCAAAAAGCTACACAGAGTTACCATATGACCTAGCAGTTCCACTCCTAGATAATCTACCCAGGAGAAGTGAAAACGTGCCCATACAAAAACCTGTGCAGGAATTTATAGCCTTATTATTCATAATAGCTCCAAAGTGGAAGCAACTAAAATGTCCATCAACTTATGAGTGCATAAACAAATGTGGTATTCGCATAATGGAATACTATTCAGCCATAAAAAGGAATGAAGTACGTGCTACATCATGGATGAGCCTTGGAAACATTATGCTAAGTTAAAAAAAAAAAAGCCAGACACAAAAGGCCACAGAATGTATGATTCCATTGATATGAAATGTCCAGAATAGGCAGGTCCATTCAAGTAGACAGTAGATCAGTGGCTGGTTGCCCGGCTATGGGGAGTGCTTCTGTAGGCAGCGGGTTTCTTTTTGGGGTGATGAAAATGTTCTGGAAGTAGATGATGCTGATGGTTGCACAGCCTGTGATTATACTAAACACCACTAAGTTGTATACTTGAATTAAAAGGATGAATTTTATAGTATCTGAATTATATCTCAATTAGAAATTGGTAAAATAAAAAGTGATGCAGGGGGACTTCCCTGGTGGCACAGTGGTTAAGAATCTGCCTGTCAATGCAGGGGACACGGGTTCGAGCCCTGGTCCGGGAAGATCCCACATGCCACGGAGCAACTAAACTTGTGTGCCACAACTACTGAGCCTGCACTCCAGACCCTGCGAGCCACAGCTACTGAAGCCCATGTGCCTAGAGCCCATGCTCCGCAACAAGAGAAGCCACTGCAGTGAGAAGCCTGCGCACCGCCACGAAGAGTAGACCCCGCTCGTCACAACTAGAGAAAGCCCACATGCAAGAAACGAAGACCCAACGCAGCCAAAAATAAATTACAAAAAGGGGGGGGGGGGGTTTAAAAAAAAAAAAGTGGTGCAGCTTACCTTAAATTATCTTTCAAACGGCGAAAGTTTTAGTTTTGATAAAGACTAATTTACTGATTCCTCTTTTACAGTTAGTGCATTCTGTATACCTGCAAGAAATCTTTGCCTATTTCAAGGTTGTGAAGATTTTCTCCTATGTTTACGTCGAGGATTTTTACAGTTTCAGCTTTTATGTTTAGGTCTGTGGTCCATTTCAAGGGAATCTGTGCAGATTGTATGAGGCACAGGTTGAGGTTTGTCCTTTTCCCACGTGGGGTCCAGTCCCGGCACCTCTGTTGCGGAGACAGCCGGTCTTCTCTGCCCTGAATTGCCCTGTCTCTTTGGTTGGCCACACGGACCGTGCACGTGGGTCCACCCCCCAGGTCTCCCACCCTCCTTGGTCTCCATGCCTTCCTGGACCAGTGCTTTGAATCAGGCACCATTACCCGTATGTTACCAAAATCATTCAGGATATTTTTTTATCCAGGTAAAAAACAAATGAACCAGCTCCATCATTTCTAAGTGTCTAGCAGTGCTGTATCGCGCTCAGATCTCTAGGACTCTCTTAAGTCAGCTCGGGCCACTCTGACAGAACGCCCCACAGCACACACTGTTCCTTCCGGTCCTGGAGGTGGAGTCCCAGAGTAGGGGCCGGCACCCCCCAGCACGGCTGCTTCCTCTTCCCGCTGGGAGCGTCCTGAGGTGTGCGCTGCTCTCCTCGTGGTTGTGACTGGCGTTTCCCCGAGTGTTAGTGGTGCTGAGCGCCTCCCCACACATGTCGGGGCCGCGTCTCTTCTTCGGAGAAATGTCAGTGCAAGTCCGTGGCCCATTTCTCAGTTGGGTTATTTGTCTCTCCGTCGTGGAGCTGTCGGGGTTCCTTATGAAGCCTGGATAGTAACCCTTACCAGGCGTGTGGTCTGCAAACATCTCTTCCCGTTCCCAGTTTGCCGTTGCGCTCTGACGATTGTTTCCTTTGCTTTCAGACGTCTTAAAGTCTAATGTAGTCCCATTTGTTACCCTTGCTTTCATTGCCTGTGCTTTTAGGAATGTATTAAAGAACACAGAGTTTTTCTCTTAGTCTGGCTCTTTGTTGGTTTCCCACCTCACTGCATTTCTCATATCTCTGTGATTTTGTTGTCTCACCGAGGACTGTCTCTCAGTAATTTTCCTCCCAGAAGGGGTTTGGCTGCTAAGGGGTTTGGAGCCTTGCCTATCTGAAAGCATCTCAGTTTTGCCTCGTTCTCAGTGATACTTTGGCATGGTTTAGAGTCTTCAGCATTTCTGAAATTCCACCCCTTCTTTTGGCAAAAGCCCCTTGGGAGGGAACCTGTGGAGCTTTTGGTGACAGAACAGCAGGGGACAGTTGGGGAAAGGCGGGAGAGGCAAGGCCTGGGCGGCCCGGTGTCCCCGGGAGGGACGTTGATTCCAGGTGCTCGTGCAGGGGGTGGGTGGCCGAGCTCAGAGGGGCGCATGGGCAGCAGAGGGTGGGACCCGAAAGCTCAGCCCTGCAGAGTGCGTGGCCCAGCTGGCGTGGCCCCCGAGCATGTGGGCCGGTGGCCTGGGGCTTGGGAGGATGGCCAGGGCCAGGAGAGGCGTGGGGCTGGTGCAGGTGCAGGGGAGGCCTCTGGAGGACGGGAGTGTCCGGAGCCGTCAGGAGCTTGGGTGGGGCGGGGTGTGGGCCACGTGCGGGGGTGGCACCCTCGCTGCCACCACCCCCACCACCGGCCGGGCTGTGCCATGGTTCCATTCCCGCACAGTGGACGTATGCCAGACCCTGAGTTGGCTTCTTTCCTCAGCAGAGAAATAGGTAAGCTTGACTGTTACCTTACAGTATAAATTGTTGGGACTGGATCCTGACGATGGACTGCGTGCGGATGAATGTGACAGCATCGCCGGCAGCTTTTCTGGATAAGAGTCGGATCCCAGCCCACGGAGCTTCCTTTGGAATGCCCCTGCCTCGGTGACGCGCACGGGTGTACCGGTGTGTGCCCGGCCCGTGCAGGCTCTCTGGCCCGTGATCGCCCCCGTGCCTGTGCAGGCATGTGACTCTTTTCTCCTGTGTCATGGTTGTTTTGATTATATTTATTGGAAGAGAATTTTAACGTCTGGATGTGATAATAAAAAACAACTTAGGAGCTTTGTTCATTGTGCATCGTGGGATTTGTTCAACTTGTTTTCTAGTAATTCCACTTTGTTTTCTTTTATGAATGCATCGGTCCAGCTCAGATTCCAAATACACAGTGTGTTCACGCAGACGGCCTGCGGGACCCGGGCAGGCTGCCTCCGCTCCTGGCCCCCGGTCCTGAGGGCACAGCCGGTGACCCACTTCCCAGTCGTTCTGGAACTGAGTGCTCACTTTTTCAAGCAGTAACATTAACGCCTACACTCAGTTGGGTTTAACAAGCAGCCTGGAAGGGCGTGTGCGGTCATCAGTGACCCCACCAGCCCTGACCTCAGCCCCCCGCGGGCGTCTCTCCCTGTCTGCGCACCATGGAGGTTGCCTGGGGGGATCGTCGGGTCAGGACGGTGGCGTTGGGGGGCAAACCGAAGGCAGCTGAGGACCCTGGGGCATCTTCCCCGGTGCCGGCATCACACAATCTTGGGGTTGCTCTACGTGCCGCTCCCATTGCGGAGACCCATCCCCCCCAGTCCTGGTCGTGGAGACCACGGGTGGTGATTGAAGGCTGGGTCGTGCCTCCACCCTCCAGAATCCCATCCTGTGGCAGGACACACCCTCCACAGGAGCTGTGGGGGATCCTTCACCACATGCGGTTTGCTGTCTGCCACGAGCCTGGTACCGTGTTGGGTGCTGTACGCAGTGGTCACTTTCTGACCAAGTGGACACCGAAGGAGCCCCTCCGTTTTTTCTTACAGGAAGTACTGAGTCCAGAGGATGTGGCCAGTGTGGGGGGTGGACCACAGAGACCAGTCCGGTGGGCCATGCAGGGGGACCCACGCCGCCCACCAGCAGCAGGTGGCCCCGAACGTCCTTGTGAGGCCGTCTCCCGTGTCCTGCTGGGCTTGGCCTCTTAGCTCGGTTGTGCTTTGATAGCCACGCCACAGCAGGTCATCAGCGAGCCCGAGTCCCAGCGGGGTGACCACCCGTTGCCGAGCCCACCCCCGTCACACGTGGCAGATGTGGCTCAGCTCGTGGCATTCTGCCCCTCAGACTACTGACGAAACCCAGGGTGTGGACAGGCATGTTTATGCACTGCCGAATGGGAGTGCTAGCTGAGGGCAAGGACGGTGCTGGCCTTGCTGGGTCTCCGGCAAAGAGTCCTGCTGTGGTGGTCCTTCCGTGGCTGGAGCCTGGCCCTGCCATCACCCCAGGGTCTCTGCTGCTGGAAAGCCCAGGCTCTGAGCCAGGCCTGGGTCTCCTCCCTGCCAGGCACAGTACCTGGCACACGGCTGGTGCCTAGCAAGTGTCAGTGGAGCCAGCAGTGCCCCGGGAGTGGGTGCTTCCCTGCTGGGCGGGCCTGAAGACGAAGCGCTTCACAGGGGCGGTTTGTGGCAGCCATCGCAGAATTCCACGGAGACCTGCCGTGTGAGCAGGGAGTGCTGGCAGGGAGCCCCTGTCTTCGGTGGGTTTCCCTAGGGGTCCCCGGGGTGCGGTGCTGGACCCTGCCTGCTGCGCTGTGGTGACCCTGGGGGCCAACGAGTGTGTGAACAGCAGTTCTCCAGACTTCTCAGTGATGCTTCATGGGTTTTCTATCTTCCCGTGCTCTGGAGGGAATGGGTGGTTTTTTAATAACTCAGGGGAATGGGCGCCCTCTCGTTGAGATCAGTTAAATGTGTGCCTATGATCTCCCATGGGTGCTGATGCCGTCACCTTCCTAACCCTGAGGTGCACCTGAGGTGCTGATTTCTGTCTGGCCTCAGCCTGGTGCCCGCCAGGCTCATCGGCATCTCTGCTGCACATCATGGGCCTTCATGTCCATCGATTAAAGCCCCCAGTACTTCTCTCCTTTTTGCTTATTTCCTTAGCTGTGTTACTCTAGATGAACTTGGTGATCTTTCTGTCTGCTGGCTTGTGGAGGTTTCTGGGAAGAGTGGAGGCTGCACTACATCTTAGATGTGGGTCAGGGTGCATCTCAGCCTTTGTGTCCTTGTCTAGGAGCACAGGTGACCCTCGCACACACGGGCCTTTTGTGGGGCTCGGGCAGGTTTTAGAGGAGATACATTTTTAGAGAATGAGAAGCCGAAGCCTCTTGCCTCAAAAAGTGCCACGAAGGAGGCCCACACATCCTGTGTGGACGATGGGTGGTGTCCACCCGCCGACTGTGTGGAGTTAGTGGCCTTCTGTCTTCTGCAGGTGCCCTACGAAACACTGAACAAGCGCTTCCGTGCCGCACAGAAGAACATTGACCGGGAGACAAGCCACGTCACCATGGTAGTGGCTGAGCTAGAGAAGACCCTGAGCAGCTGTCCAGCCGTGGACTCTGTGGTCAGCCTCCTGGATGGTGTGGTGGAGAAGCTCAGTGTGCTCAAGAGGAAGGTCAGTGCTGCTTCCGGGCCATGCTGCCTGCCCTGCCCCCAGGCTGCGCGCACCCCACGGGCGCACCCTTCACCCAGTTGTCCTGAGAAGGGGCCGCCTCCTGGGGGAGCTGCGGTGGAGGGGCCCCCCCTCCCCTGCTGTCCGTGCTCTGGAGTCTGTCAGCTGTAAGGCCGGCTTCCCGACCCACATTCCTGTTCCTGTAGGGCCAGGTTATCCTGACTCCAGATGTCCCAGGGAGCCCAGGTTGGGGAGGCCAGGATGGGTGGTAGATTGATTTATTATTTTCACAATTTCACCTCAGAACAGCACATAGGGTATCTTGTTTCTGGGAATGGTAGGTATGCCCACTGATAGGCCTAAAAAGTGAGATAAGATATCTGAAAACATTTTATTCACCAGGATTGGAGAGCAGGGGGTCAGGGGGGCTAGAAGGCGAGGGACCCCTGCTGCCTAGAGAGAGCCCCCAGCAAGGGCCTCGCCGGCCAGTGACTCAGGGCCATTAGAGTCGGGGGCCTGATGGCAGGACCCAGCAGCACTACACCTCAGGTGAGGGTGCCCAGAAGTGAACTTGCTGGGAGAAGCACTGCCGCCCACCCCCTCCTCCAGCCTGGTGTGAGTGGCCCCAGCAGGTGCTGCCTCCAGGCCCCAGGCAGAGTAAATGCAGTTCTCTTGAGTGGAGGGCGCCTTCCATCTGAGCATCAGATGGTTAAACTGCAGTAGCCAGGGCCGGCACACAAGACACCACGGCTGCAACGCAGCAGGAGTAGAGAGATCTGCACACACCTCGGGTACAGAAACTACCAAATACCAGTCCTCACCGTGCTCAAGGGATGAAAAAGTAGCTTGAAAATATCTGCAGGGAGTAGAAAGTATGTCATTTAAAGTTAAAAAGAACCAAGTAAAAACACAAGAAGCGAAAAATAGCAAATGAAAAACTCAAATGTTTGCTTACCACAAACATTTTAACACTTAACAATCAGACCAAGCTGAAGAGAGAGTTAGTGAGCTGGAAGGTGGGTCTGAGGAAATTACCTAGAACACAGCACAGGGACGA